CCCGGGAAGGACCCGGTGCGGCCGATGGGTGGCGTGGGGTCGGGTGGGGCGCCCGCCAGTTTTAGGACCCAGCTCTTCCTTGCACCTCTAAGCAGTTCCTTAAATCATAGCCTGGGCTTCAAGGGTGCTCTGCGGAGACCACCTCATTTCCCCTCCGCCCACGTTTTAGAAATGGGGAGCTCTTTCCTGAAATAACAAGACGCATGGGGTCCTGAACTGGGTTTCAAATCCTGTCTGTGCCCCTGCAAAGTCCTAACCGTGCTCTCGCGCCAAGTAGAACTGGCCTCTGGTAAAGGCCAGCACCTAGCTCGCTGGGGAGCTTAAGAGGCAACGTGGGAAAACGTGAGTCCAGTGTTCACTGGGCACCTGCCACCCGAGCACACGCTATCCAAAACAACCTAGCATTCAACTCACCTGTGGCTTCTTTTAAGGCAGGGCCGTCATTTTGCTACCACCACCTGCCAAAAGTTTTGGCACAAACCTCGACATACCTACTCAAGTGTTTTTTGCCAAGGACGTCATGACTGCTTAATGGGGAAAAGGACTTTTTTTTTCTTTTTCTGTGTGTCAAAAGATACAATAGCATAAAAACGCAACCCACAGAATGGGAGGGAATATTTGAAAATCAAGTATCTGACGGGCTAATATGTAGAACATACAATGAACTCAACGACAACGAAACATAAGCTATCTAATTCAAAAGCAGGAAATGAGAACCAAAATCTGACATGTAAAGGTACAAGATCTCAATGATGAATGTCACTGTACTCTGTACTTAAAAAGTACCAATAAACTTAAAAAAAGAAAGTAGACAAAGTGCTTGAATAACATTTCTCCCAAAAAGACATTCAGTGACAAGCACACGAAAAGATGACCAACAGTACCTGTCATTAGGGAAATGCAAATCAAAATGAAAATGAGAAGCCTGGCGTGGTGGCACATGCCTGTAATCCTAGCACTCGGGAGGCTGAGGCAGGAGGATCGCTGTGAGTTCGAGACCAGCCTGGACTACACAGTGAGTTCCAAAGCAGTCTGAACTACATAGTGAGACCCTGTCTCAAAAAACCAAAACCAAAACCTAACCAAACAAAACAACAAAACAAAATGAAAATGAGATTCTGTCTCATATTCATTAAGGTGACTCTGATCAAGAACAGAAAATGAGTGTTGGTGAATATGGATAAACTGGAAGACTTATGTGCTTTGGGGGGTAGTGTAAAATAATGCAGTTGGTATAGAAAACAGTACAGCAATTCCTAAAAAAAGTTAAATATAGAAATACATATGATCCATTAATTTCACTTTTGGGTATATATCCAACAGAATTAAAAGGGTGTCAAAGAGAGATTTCTTCATCCGTATCCCTACCAGCATAATTCACAGGTGGCAAAGGGAGCCAGGTATGGTGGTGCACACCTATAATACAGCACTTGAGAGGCTGAGGCAGGAGGATGTCTGCAAGTACAAGGCCAGCCTGAATGACCTAGTGGGACCCTAGCCCAAAAGAAACAAAACAAAAAACAAGTGGCAAAGGTAAAAGCCACCCCAGTGGCCATTGACAGATCCATTTTTTTGGTTGTTTGTTTTTGAGGTAGGGTCTCACTATGCAGATCAGGCTGGCCTTGAATTCTGCATGGAGCCCAGGCTGACTGTAAACTCGCCTCAATCTTCTTACCTTAGCCTCTCAAGTGCTGGGATTACAGACATATGCAACTATGCCCAGCTAGAATGTCCTTCCTTTTTAAATGTTGAATAACACTCTGTTACATGTAGTATAATCTACATTTTTAAAACATCTGGTGTGGCCAGTGAGTTCGAGGCCAGCCTGGGCTATAACATGAGTTCAAGCCCAATCTGAACTATGTAACACACACTGTCTCAAAAAAACAAATATATAAAAAGGAAGCTTTAGTACTTATATACATTAACTATATTATATATCTTATATGTGACCCAGGGTAACTCCTGTCCAGCCAGTGTGGCCCAAGTGAGCCAAAAGGTTGGAAATCCATGATTTATGGGTACCAAGTTTTAATTCTGAAAGATTAAAATATTCTGGAAATGGATGATTGCATGTCACCACCACCAAGGTGAACGTACTTACTATTACTAAAATGGTGAAGATGGTATGTGTTATGTGTATTTTATTACAATTTTAAAAATTATAATGTTGAAAAACAAACATTGAAAGGATTTCAGTATAGTATCTAGAGTACAGAAGTAATAGTGAGACATTGTCTCAAAAAAAAAATTAAAAAAAATAGAGTACAGCAGTGCTTTCTAAATGTCAATGCTTAGCTTGACTGAAATTCCAAGCACAGAAAGTGTTTTTTTGCCGGGCTTGGTGGTTCAACCTGTAATCCCGGCACTCAGAGGCAGGAGGATCACTTCAAGTTTGAGGACAGCCTGGGCTACATAGTGACATAGTAAATTTAAGCCTAGCCTGAATTATATAGAAAAAACATTTTTTTTCTTCTCAAAAGAAAAATAAATGGCACTGATAGAGAAATCTTTGAACCTAAGAACTGTAAGCACTTAATAACTGAGCAAAGTCAGCAGCATTCCCTCCTGCTTTGTTCTGCAGATGCTACATGGAGGCCAGGGCAGGCAGAGACTTCAAATCCCTCAGTCACGTAGACCTCAGAACCTAGCCTGAGTGTCCGGGAACCGCTTCAACCCACAGAAGCTCTGCCTTGTGGCCCCAGTCACACTAGCCACAGAGCCACCAGGCAGTGCTTCCTCTCTTGGTCACCAGCTCCTGATCTTGCCAGCCCCAGGTCTTTTCATATTTTATGCACACTGTATTCACTCAATAACTACTTCTTGGTCCATTTATGTAAAAATAGTTTCAGGATAGGCATGATGGTGCATATGTTTAATCCCAGCTGAGGCTGAGACAGGAAGATCAAGATATTTAGGCCAATCAGGTGACAAAATAAGATACTCTAGAAAAAATATGTTATAAGGCAAGTTCCTCTAAGAACTTCAACAACTTTCAGTCTCTTTTTAAAGCTGGGAACACATCAGTTTAAACAGTTGTGAAAGTTAGATTAAAACCCAAAACAAAGTGTGGATCTGTAATCCCAGTACTCTAGGAGGCTGAGGCAGGAAAATGCCATATGTGAGCCCACCTGGACAATTTAGCACCTTAGTGAGACCCTAAAAAAACAATCAGGCTGGGGACTTAGGTCAGTGGTTCTGCCGCCTGCCTCATAAGCGCAAGGAGCCAAGTTCGATCCCTAGTAACAAAAACAAAAAAATCAAGTTTATCCAGTCAATAATTTTTTAATGACTGCTATGATGCAGATACAAAATTGCTATGGATGTAAGAAAACCTTTGTTGGTGCTTCTACTTAAGTAAAAAGCTAATTTCTACAGCAAGATAAGACATGAAAGCACCTAGCTTAGTGCTGCTACCTATTAAGAGACCAACAAATGTGACTACTCCCTCACTATTCGTGTTTTCCAGAGTAGTTAGGCATATCTGGCATATCTGGATAGTGATTCTTATAAATGACCCAGCTGCCATTTACTTACTTGGCTAAACCAAGCAATTCCATGAACAAGTAGAGGCAAACCAGTTAGAATGAGGAGCTGCCTGGAATCCTGAGAATCAGGGTAAATATATGTGAACAAATGTTTTACAGAGAAAAAAGAAAAAGTGTATGTGAGGGGGAAACAGAGAATATGAAGTTAATTGTGCCCTTTAGTTCTCCAACATACACTGACATTAAAAAAATAATCATGCACTGGCTCTCACAGTGGAGGTTGCTGTGGAAATGGCTCCTTAGCCTAAAAAATCTAACCCAGGTCACATGGATAGTAGGTGGCAAAAGCAGGTTTAGGATTCGAGCCTGATGCCGCCCAGAATCAGAGAGAAAAATCAAAGAAAATCAGAAAAAATAAAAAAGGCTGAAAGAAATGCAGGAAAGTTTCATTGGTCCTTCCATGGTGATAAATTTCTCCTGCAGCTTTGGCCCAAATAAAGCTTCTCCCAAAGGTCCATTTGATTTTCTCTTCTAGAGTACTCAGTCGAACCAGTTTGGGCTTCCACACCCCTATAAGAGTCTGGTGAAAGCTTTTTATTCAGTCAGTCAGTTGTCCATTCAATAAACATCTGTTGGTTGCCAGACCTTATTCAGTGGACAAACTGTTCATGACACCTTGGCCACCTAGAACTAGAATCTGACTATGGACTCTCCCTAGAAAAGTCCAGGTTCAGCCAGGTAGGTGGCCCATGCTGGTAATCCCAGATACTTGGAAGGGAAGCAGAGGTAGGAGGATCACGAGTTTGAGGCCAGTTTGAATAATTTAGTGAGATCCTATCTCAAAATAAAATAAAGGGCTGAGAGTGTAGAGCACTTGTTGACAATGCATGAGGTTCTACGTAATGAGTTCAAGGCTAGTCTGGACTACATGGTAATATCCTGTCTCAAAAAAAATCAAGTAAGAGGACCAGGGATTTAGTGGATTTCAGCGGAGCCACATCTGCCTCACAAGTGCAAGGTCCTAAATTCGATCCCCAGTACTAGAAAAAAAAAAGGACCAAAATGAATAATAGATATTGTGAAAGAGGAAGAAAATGTTCAAATGGCAAGGGGAACAAGGGAGGAGAGAGGGGGAAGGAAAAAGAACAAAATGGAAA